AATTTTTAGTTATTGTTTCTGACTCCTAGCATCGACAAATGCTAGGCGTATTACTAGTTCTAACTTTGATACATATCCAAATACGGCATCAATTAATACTAACTCATGTAAGCCGAAACGCCAATATCTTGGGTTAAAATCGATTAAAATCAGATTTTTCTCTCGTTTTCTTGGCATGGGAACATCGTTTAACTTTGCATATGTCACCATGCATAAATATATATATATATATGCGGGTGAATCATGTACTCCTTATTCCGTCATGTGTCGCAACATATTTTGACAACATCTACTGTTTCTTCTAGGTGATTTACAATGAAAATTGTATTTCTAATCAGATCACAGCTCCTCGAAATTTCTGAAAAAATCTTCTGTCTATCGCACCCTATTCACAAGGTGTTCTCTAACAAGTTGAAAAGAAACCGAAAAGTGACACTAATTAAAATGCTAGACTTCAGCCCGATGGAGACACTTCTATCTCTTTCTCATATTCTTCTTTAAAAAAGTTAGAAGTACAAAAATGAGCATTTGACTCATCTCAAAGATCAATGATAAAGAAATTGCTAGTCTGTATCGTCCAGTTTGACAGTTTTATCAAGGTTTCCTACTGCTCTTGAAGTTCAAATCTTTGTCAGAAAATATATTTTAAACTTAAGGTAATATATCCTATTCGATTTGTCCTTGGAAGGCTCATCTAACTTCATTGTTCGCATTTCAACATTATCAAAGACTAAAAACTGATTGGGAAGAACTATTTTGATAGGTAAATACTATGATTGTTACTGTTGATGAAACCGGTGAATTTCAACATTCCATCTTATATATCTATCTGAATAGCAATTATTTTTGAACTTTTTTACACAATTCAGTCAATAAGACTGTGGGTATGGATTGGGACGAAAAAATCGTCCCATACCATTAGAAGCTCTGCATGTGTGTGAAATTTGGGTGCGACGTCTGCGTGTAGGATGTAGCTGTGTGTAAAGAGAATAGACATAGCTACACTGAAATCCGTACTCTTCATTTGCCAAAAATTTCCTAAGTAAACATTTCCGTGTTTTTTGTCGCAGAAACTTTTCTTCGGGCTTAATAGCAATAGATATCCTTTTCAAGGAGAAAAATCAGTGTAAATGAATTGCATTTTCTTGATCAAGACACAATCCTGCATTTACATGTACAGCATTTTGATTGGTATGCGCGATGTCCTGGGAATATAGTAACCAGCTAGGTGTTACTAATTCGATTCTTCTAATTCCAGTGAATGAACAAACCAAAACAGTTTCTTATACACCAGAGATATTTGCTACACGAAATAAGAGCAGTCCATTACAGAGATGTGTCCCAAATGACACTAGGTCTTCGATGAGTGGAAAAATCGAACGCTCCTGACATTTGCAAATCATCTCGTGGAATCTCGCTCGTCACTAAGTTATTACTGAAGATAACGAGTGACTTTCGGACTGAATAATATCGAAATAAAATTGAAATTATGATCATTTCAAAAGTAATGACGGATTCAAAAGATTTTTCAACAAATTAAGAGAGATTACAATGGGAAAACTTACTTTTATGAAACTCGAACTAAGGAAAGAGAAGAGTTAAGTGTGTATTAATTGAAATAATTTCGAAAGAAAAAACTTGAGAACCTGTCCGAAGTTGCTAGCTTGGTATAGAGAACAGTTTTCAAGAGACTCTCATATTTTCGCTAGAGAAAAATCGAATTTAATTTCACATTTATACTTTTCTCTATTACAGAAGTGATGATTTTGAAATTTCTATCTAGCTCATTTTTTTCTTTCAGGGTAAGAATTATTTATTGCCAATTGAAAACGTACAGGATCCGGAATTCGATTGCATAAATTTGGATAATCTGTTAAAGGATCTGAACCATAGTGGTAATAATCTTTTAAATATTATTATTTTGGACGCTTGTCGTGCTGATAAAGACAATAGTACCTGGAAAACAAAATCTACCAATGAAGAAGAATGTCTGAAACCTGCATTTGGTAAAGCATTAACATCATTTGTTCGTATACCAAATGAATCACAATTCGCTTTGATATTTTCATCCGATCCGGGTACCGTATCCTTCGCTGGTGACATAGATGGAAATAGTTTCTTTACATCGGCACTGTTAAATCATTTGCAGAGACCAAATTTAGAGCTAGACAACATGATGAAGTTAGTTAGAAAAGAAATATTACAAAAGTCGATGAATAAACAACGACCGTGGCTTCACTCATGTCTAACGGAAGACTTTTACTTCTATCAAGGTTTGTACCGAAGGCAGTTGCTGTTGGACTTCTTTAGCAGTTTTTCATGACATCAAAAATCCACAGATCGCTCAAAATATCTCCTGTTACCACTATACCGTTTTGAGAAGCTTTTTGAAGACTGATCGTAACTCGAATCGAATAGAATAATCATGATTCGAAAATATTCGACTCGACTTGCTTTCTATTTTAATCGATTCAAGTTAATACCACTGGAACTTTACTAAATTATAAATTCAGCTATATTCCCTCGTACTGAAGTCCATTGGAGTCGGTGAAATCAATCAAGTAATTTATGTCAGCCTTGAGTTTAGAGCCAGTAGACTCGGTAATGCCATTGTAGCTCATAGGGTTCAAGATCTTTTTCTAATATAAACGAGTCTTTGATTCTAAGTAAGCAATTCATTCATCTTATAGCAAACGAATTTCCAATGAGCGTTTTTCATAAAATCAGTCTTTCTTGATTTTGTTGATTTTGACACAAAAAATCATGAGAAAGTTTTAGCCAGTGCGAAATGATCAACTAAAGCCGAATTTCGTTTCCAAATGTCGAAGATCTTAGAAGCGTTTTTGACTGTATGACTAAGTGAAGAGCTTAGAAAATTTATATGTATTTATAATCTGATACATTTAGCATGCTTAACAGACCTTTCTAAGTCGCATAAGCTATTGGCTAACACAAAAGTTGCTTGAAATTGTTCAAGATTGCAATAAACCGAACTTCTTGATTAGAAAATCTCAAAAAGAGAGATCCTGTCTCCCACAGTGTCTTCTTAAATTGCTAATATTTCGCTGACTGCTCTGTTAAGAGAAATAATAAGGGTGGGGAAAAATATTTTGACCTTGAATTTGTAAAATAATTTCCATAGCGCAATGGTTAACTAATATCGACAGTCTGTACTCCCAAGCTATTATTCGCTAGAAAATGCTTATTTTGCATAGAAAATATTCTTTATGAGAAGACATCATGATATTCCGTTGAATAAAACACTTGCAGACCAAGTATATTTTTGAGGTTATCAAGTTATAATTTTACAACCCTTAATATTTTTCAAAAAGCTATCGATGAAATTGCTGGCTTGATAAAATATGAAGCACAATGGAACCAATTCGATATCAAACGACAGTTCCTGTTATATGCATCAGAATTCATCAGGATTCAAAAAAACTTTCCAGCACGATTTCAAAATCTGTAATGTAAGCGCGCTGACTGCATCACTTTATTTACTTCAACATTTATTCGAAAAGTCATTTCTCTAATAAAAAGCAGTCAACTTGCATATTGTTTATTATTCGTTTTCTAAGCCAAGAGTACTACGTTCGATTCATATTCTTCAAGCAGAATATATTTAAGACTTCAACCGATGATTGAACTACATTCCAGAACAATTATCGCAATATGTTTAGTTTATAGACCACTATCATTTCTAAGAAGAGTTCTGTTCCACACTTCGATAATGCCTGGAGAAATGAGAAAACTACTGTAGAAAGCAATTTCAGCTTATACACATCTGATATTTTTTGATTTTTCTAGATACGTCGCTTGCACCTCTTCCCCGTCCTCGTCGCAGTAAGTACATTTGATTTAGTTGTGTAATTTTAATTTACAAAGATCACATAATGGTCTTGTGATTCCATCGATCCGATTATTATTGTGTTCGATATTAATTGAATGATTCAGATTTGAAGAACTTTTTCTTTCTCAATGTTAGAATTTATCATCAGACGAACTAATAGAATAATAAAAGATACAATCTGCATAGTGCATTTATTTTCTAGTTTATATTTGTGAAACACAAGGGTATGGGACGGGTGGGAATCTTCTCTTAACCTTCACTCACAGCCAAACTCAGACTCATCATACCATATGTAGACATGCTGGAACAACCGGTTTTCATCCGCTACATTATGGTGGATAAGTATGGGTGAGGAGAACAAAATCCACGCTCACACTCCGTTCTTACATCCGCTGCCAGTTTTCAACCCTTTCGTTTCACATTTGGATAATGCCAACATAAATGATATCAAGGGGAAATCGGCAGATTCTGTATTCCCAGGATTCTCAAAATTTTCTGGGATACGATTTGTATTTCAGAAAATCTCATTCGACTTTTATGATTCTCATTATATTTCTGAAAACTGCACAGAGCACAAGGCGTACTCACTATGTCACAAATTCAAAAATTCTGAATTAAGCTATGAGGAAAAACACATTTTCGTTGAGAGGTTTATATACGCTAAAATCCCCCACATATTAGCAGATCCCGTTCTCCTTTGAAGAACAATTTTTTTAAAATAATTTCTGTGTTTATTGACATTTTTTGGTATTTAAGTTCATACTCTTATGTAAGTTCAGTTTGAGTAATATTTTTCTTTCGTTTTGATAACGATGCTTCAGTTCCGAGTTAGAAAAATCTAGAAACACAGCTAAAAGAAATCAAATGTCTATTTAAAAAAATGCGCTTGTTATTGATAACAAATCCTGAGATCATTGTGGTGATCCTTTGCGATTTACTCTGGCAACATTCATCAAGTTCTCTAGGCGAAAAAACATTTCCATGGTCATATGGTCTAATAGACTCAATGCACATTCGCGCGTGTAACAC